GCTGAACTTCCCAAATGCAACAGCAATTTCATATATTGCTCTAACTTTTCAATCAGTATTTATGGCATATTAAGATTACGTCTTTTCATCCAAGAATCTTATTTTACTTTACAATTAACTGTGTCACAAGTAGTTCAATCATCCTTTAAATGCAAAGGTTTGGCAAAAAGAGATTTGGTTACCTATTCCAGGACACACTTATTTAATGGAAGAGTCAATCAGCATCATGACTGCGGAGAGATTCAGAGCTTACAACTGGAGATTATTCCTAAACTCCTGCTCTTTGCCTCAGAAGGCATTTTAATAAGTGCTTTGCACAGCTCTCAGACCTGTGCTGAGCCACGCAGGATAAGAGCAAAAAAAAACACCTTGTTTTTGCATGATTTGGTACCTCAAGGTGCTGCTCCACCGAGCTGCTTAGGCTGATGAAAGCTGCACTTGCCAGGATAAACCCTTCGCTTTCCTTCTTCACGGTGCATCCCCTCTAGCTCGCTCCTGTGCCAGCACCGGCACAGTTCAAGGACCTGAGCAAGCAGAAGAACGCAGCCAGCAGAAAATACTTGGCCAAATCAACTCCCTTAAAGTAGATCACTGTTGGGAAAATTAGCAACGCTGCCAGAGCAAGGAAAGCATCCTGGGCTGCAGAAGAGGAAGAAATGGGATCTGGCTTAGTTCTGCGTAGACTGACGTGGAGCTGAACCCTCTACACCTTTTCCATGAGGCTGCAGTGGGGTAAATTGAGTAAAAATACTCCTGAATGCCACGGTCTTTCCCCTGCTCACCTGTGTGCCTATGAGAAATATTTTTTTCCCCATTAATTCACTTACAAAATCACAGAGTGGCTCAGCTTATAGCAGCAGAGCTGTGAAATATATCTGCAAGTGCTCTAGCAGTACTCCCGGAGGAGCACGGCATAGCAAATACAAGTCAAGTGCAGCTTTTCACTAAGATCGCTCACGTTGCTGGCCACCAGACCTAGCTGCGTACTGCAGAGCTACTTCATGTCCCTGCTCACATCCTGCACTCGAATGCCAGTTCTCTTCATAAGGAAGGATGTCACACGGCTTCTGGACAGAGGAGCATCACAGGCAAAGAGAGAGGCTTTCTCAATCAACAGCTTTTCTATCTCCAGCAGCAGAACAGTAGAGTGTGGGCAGAGTGTAGACTTCAGTTTCTCTTGCTCCGGTCTCCTTATGGTGTCCCTGCAATGTTTAGGCTGCTAAATCACACCATTTTTGGAAAACACTTGAAAGCATTAGACAGAAGAACCAAAAAAAGGAAAGGAATAATTGTCAGTGTCTTCTCAGTAGATAGACCACCAGACAGCCTGCTAAAGATACGATATGTCCCAGAACATATAAGTGATTAGCCCTCTCTTCTGTAGAAGCAAGAATAGACATTCTCAAAAAACTGAGATCCATCAACTACAAATACCAGCACTACAAAAGGAGAGAAGATCCTTGGAGGCAAATAGCACCAGCCCAACCTGGTAACAGGACTCTGAGTACACATGGAGATGTTTTTGCTATCTTTTCCAGCAGTGGTGTACTGCACTGAGACAAAATAGGTGACAGAGTGATTGTGCTATCGCTAGAAAGGTGACATTTCAGAAGAAGCTGAATGAACATTGATATTATTCAGCAGGGATGGATGCCTCTGCTCTCTCCTCGTGGTATCAAAAGACAGTGCTAAAAAAAGGGCGAAAGAGCTGTTAAAAGTTCTGTCCTATAGATAACAGCACGGAAAATCCACCACACCAAGGGTAAGTGACTGCTATAGCACATCCACCAGCTGTCAGTCCCCCAACACTAAACACAACAGAACAGAAAAGCCCTTATCTGGGCTAAGGAGACATGGCCAAGGTTGAAAAAGTGAAACGACACAGACTACGCTGCACGCAAAGCCTTCTGCATTTTTCCCAAGCATGTACACTGCTGTGCCTTTCGCACAGCACAGCCTTCATCATCTGGGATGGGATGATGCAGCATATACATTGAATGGTGCCAGAAAAACTCACAATTCCTTCAGTGCATTGTCCTGAAGCAACTCTTCGTGTTGGTACATCGCTACCTGCCATCAGAACGCAGCTTGTGGTTCTCTCCAGCCGGGTCCTACAGCAATCACACTACTCAGAACACATACTCCACCCACACCCACACCGAAAACCTAAATTAGCTCCATGTACAAAATGCCAAGTTTAAATTTAAACGAGCTTCAAATCTCTCCTGTTGGTACAACAACACAACTACAGGCTAAGCTGGCTCCGTAAATCCCTTCCAACTGTGTTTTCCTGCACAACGCTGCTCAAATATTTTGACAAATCGATTTTTTTGGTTTGGTTGTTTTCTAGAACTCTGCTACCCAAGTCTAAAAGGTCACTCTGTCTTCCTCCTGAAGAGTTCAGCATTATTCTTCCATTCTCAGAGGTAAAAAAATATATATAATATCTGAACGTTCAGTACCTAAACATCACACGACACTGTGCCACCTATCTAATCCTACACCACAGTGCTCGGCGCAGTTATTAGGGAGCATTCAGAAATCCAGCTACAGAAACAAGCTGCTGAAAACAACTCTCGCATTCCCCACAAAGGCCATTTTCCAGCCCACCATGACCGCACATTTGTACAGAACTCTAAAGAGATAACCTTGCTGCAGCGTATTTCACATGCAGAGATGCATAATGTACGCGTGCGAAAGATTATCCATGTGAATGGTGAAGTCATGCGATATTGTTCTACCACGATGAATAAGTTCCATTCATCAGGATCTGCAGGAATTGCATCGCTTCTCTGTTGCGCCCCACCACGAACCCACTTCCTCCAAATTTTCATCCTCCTCCAACAGCAGGCACATCTAAATAAACACTCTAAAAACTGAGTTTTCTACTCCCCCTGCTGCAAACGTAAGATCCTCTCTCAAAAAAATTATCCTTATTTGGTAAAATATATCCTTATTTGACAAAATAGGATAAAAATAATTTAGTCTTGGGATCAAGGGTTTTCTTAAACTGTAAGGTAAAAAACTTTTAATCCACAGCAATGAAACTAATGTACAAAAAACACACGACAAAAAAAAAAAAATCAAAGATTTCCTCCTTTCCACGTCAGTCAGTACTCATCTCTTACCCTAAACCAGCAAGAGATTAAGGATCTTGAAGTGCTGCTTTTATGCACTGAAAAAGCTCTTTTCGAAGCTTTTCTGAGTCCCTCTGACACCCGCGCTGTCAGGCCAATAGCAGCGAAACCTTTACAAGTGGGTTCTTATATTTTTCTTGGCCCATATTTTATAGAAAGTTTGGTCAAATATTTTCTCTCCAACACAGAAAGCACGTTCACTCTCTGCACGTGCACACCTACACATGCTTCTACAGAAAAGGTTTATCAATGTTATTTTGGAATAGCCAGTATAACCCACTCCCAATTTCCCCACTCACGAGGAATGAAACCACCACAAACTCTCATATTCTCCAGTGGAATAACCAGCCTTGTCATTCTGCTTCACGGAAGATAAAAACTTGGAGGATTCTTACCCCCAAGGCTCCTCCTAGAGCAAAGCCTGCAGAACTCAAAGCTCTCCAAGTTTTTCTAGACCTCACGGATGACAGTAGGACGGCTGGAAGTTCCCCATGCCATGCCCATTCCTCATGTCATTAAGTTTAACTATTCCCTTTCAACCGGGCCAGACAGCTTCAGGTCTATGACACTGTTTTGTTTAGAAAACCCATCAGTAACCTCCGGCTGGACACTGCCAACAAAATTTTTACAAGAATAATATTGAAGAAAAGTAAAAACTTGTATCATGGAGAATACCGATCAGGATTTCTCTAATAAAAATACTAACTCCTCTACAGAGACAAATAAGCGGGTAAGGAGACAGTGGACGTGATCAAAGTCCCTTACCTTACATTTATTCTGTCCAAGAAGTATCTAAGTTCACGCTAGGAACAGAGCTGTCTGTATTTGCATATGCACAAACCCCCTGTGTGCATCACTGCACAGCCAAACAAGCCTTTAGACCAACAGCTAAACAGACCTGTGCCCTGGAGTGAAAGTGTGCTAGCGCGGGAAGCAGGAGCGTTTTTCAAGAGCAGGCTAGAGGCGGAATGACCATCGTAAATCTTGCCACCTCTTGTAAATAACGTCGAGCGCCTTTCTTTGACCTCCTCTATCAAATACTGGGTGAGGTGTACATCTGTGTACTATAAAGGCAATTCCAAAATAAATAAATAAAAACCTCTAATGTGCATGTGTTAGCCTCACCGCAAGAATGAGAGAGCAGATGTGTGACAGATGACAGCTCTGCCGCTTGTGAGTTTCAGTACTAAGGTGATAGGCATGGTACCAGAATAATTCCTAAGCAAGGTACAGTTTTAGTACACTACAGTTAAGAATAAGAATCAAATAAGAATTCCCTGAAAACATGCTGGCAGCAAGTGTCTCAGCTGACTATAACCAAGCCATAATGACAAGAGGAGACAAGCAATTAGAACTGTGACACTTTATAAGACAGACATGACACGGTAACACAGAATAAAAATGTCACCGTTCGAAAGCTTCTGATAAATCACTTGCTAGGCAAAAGGAATCAACCTTTCCATACACCATAAGGATGAATCCACAGACATTTTCTTCCTGATATTTAAGCTCTCTGGAGTTGAACAGGCTGTTATAAATGTGGCCACTTACCAAAAACGAAGACAAATTCCAGCACAGTTGTCTCTTGAGTATGACAGGTATTCTCTGGTATTCTGGTTATAAAAGCTGTTTCAACCTGAAAATGTGCCCAGCGGAAGGATTCTTACCTGCAAGACATCTTGGATCTTCACCCACACATCAACCATGTCGTAGAGCTTGATATCACCGTCATACTGGCTGCAGGGAGAGGCCACTGTTTGCTGAAGGTGTCCAAGGACCACAGAGTGCGCAGCAGCCACAGCGTTGAATTTGTCAAAGAGAAGCTCTAGCAGCTCCAGCAGTAACCTGTAAACCATCAAGACACCAAGACACTCAGTTTCCAGCAGACACCATGCGCAGACTGTTAGGCAGCACATCAGAGCAGCAGGACGGAAATCAGAGCACTGTGACTTCGCAGACCCTGTTTGGTGACAGATGCTGAGCGCCAGCACGGTGCTCACCTCGCTTCAAAGCCTCTCTGGGCTTCAGGTGACTGACTTCAGCTTGTGGCAGCTCAGGTTTGGTACCTAAATACTTCTGAGAATCTTGCTTTTCACTCCCTCCTCTATACCAGAGTTCACAGAATGGTTTGGGTTGGAAGGGACCTTAAAGATCATCCAGTGCCACCCCCTGCCATGGGCAGGGACACCTCCCACTAGCCCAGGTTGCCCAAAGCCTCATCCAGCCTGGCCTTGAACCCCTCCAGGGATGGGGCATCCACAGCTTCTCTGGGCACCCTGGGCCACTGCCTCACCCCCCGCACAGGAAAACATTTCTTCCCAAGATCTCATCTCCATCTCCCCTCTTTCAGCTTAAAATAATCTCCCCTTAAACCATTACCCTTCATCCTACCACTCCACCCTCCGATCAAGAGTGCCTCTCCATCTCTCCTGTAGGCACCTTTAATGTGTTTTACTTGGGGGTACAAGAAAGACAAATGCATTAGTGGTTACACAGATGCTATATTTCAGTACCATGGTAATAGAGAACATTTTAAGTTCCCAGCCAGAGCCGCAGACAGGGAGAGAGGCTACCTGCTTTTTCTCCAGAAGAGTGTAAATTCAATTTAAAAAAAAAATGACTTAATCATGCAAACAGAATACAAGATACTTATTTTGACATATGAAATTAGTAGTATGGAACGTTTTAAACAACACGAAAGGTGGTAAACCTAAAACATCAAGCCTCATCAACTGTGCCAGCTATCAAGATTCTCTTACTATACGGTGTATCCTACAGCTATAACCTCATCTAAATGTACTACACTTGGCCTGCTCCTATGGCTTCCCTACTGCCCAACTATTGCAATTAATGTACCTCTGCAAATTCCTAAATGTTTTGTGATAAGGCAATGACCCATCATATTTTTTATTATTTGGGAAAAGAAAAATTCTGATCAAGTTCACTGGCGTTTAATGAGCAATTCAAGTACACGTGTAACCCCAACCAAATGTGAAGATAACACTTCCCAAATCCATATGTTAGGCACTTCCTAGCTCTGACAGACAGTCTCCATCACATTTAACTGCAGCAGCTTTGGAGTTAGCACACACTTTCTGTGTCTACCCATCACAAGTTGCTATCCCCGGAGCAGGACAGAAGATCTGCAGCAGAATCAGAGCTGCAGCCACTCTTTAACCACCACTCTTCACTCTTCTGTGTTAGTTAACAGTCACTGATAAGGTGTGTGTTCGTGCCTTGGCCACTTCATTTCAGAGTGCTGAATATCTGCATACATCCACTTCCCTCACCTGGTTAACTCGGCAGCTGGAGAGTTAACTGGAGTCATTAAGAAGCTGCTGCACATTTGCTGTTGTGGCTAAAACCACCTACCTCACTCAGCCTACTGCAATCCTAGACTGAACTTCTGGTCTGCAAAGGACAGAAGCTGGATATTGTTAAAAAAAAGCTTACCGTGTCTCATTCATATACTCCTATTTTACATATCTAGATACGCACAGCATTCTACAGCAATCTCTTGGGGATCTCACATGGGCCATCCACCTACCAACGATATCAACCACACAGCTCAAAAGGTTAAGCAGAAGAACACCTTGATTCAACAGAAAGGGCCACTGGGTAAGTCTGGGATGGTGTAGTGAGACACAGCAGAACAGGTGAAGTGGCCAGATGTATATTAAAATATGTGTTGTATTTTAGATGTGTTTAGGAGTCACAGCACTCATAAAAACACAGGGACATTATTACTGCTGTACCTTAAGTGACTACAGAACTAAGACACATATTTAAGCAATCCAAAAGACACTGGTGTGTATATCCATTTTCTTCATATTTAAGAACAGCAACCAATGCCTAAAGAAAAGTGTTGTTGGTACTAAGAGAGACAACTTTCCCTTTTTATAGGTCTTGGCAAATTTAAATAAGACCCTTGCAGGGGATAAACAGAAGGATACAGGACATGATGGTCAAGACAGCATGAGGAAAGACAGCTATTATCAACATTAACAGCATTACATTTTCAATACAGTCAAGTCCAGTGTGGAAGAAAAGCCGTTCTCCACCAGTGACAGACAGGCAGCTGGGGCAAGTGGCTGGTGAGCCAGAAGGCAGCTAAAAATAGAAGGAAACCTAAATGTAGAAGAACTTGGAAAGACAAAGAATTTCATGTTTGAGGAATTGACGTGCAGCATGGGTTGAAATGCCAAAGATGGTAACATTATGGGATCAAATTAATTATACACAACTGAGAAAAACTCATCAGCACAAGCTCAAGTTCTGCTAACATCCCATTACAAATAAAAACTTACTTCTCCATATCATAGAAACACAGAATGGTTTGGGTTGGAAGGGACCTTAAAGATCATCCAGTGCCACCCCCTGCCATGGGCAGGGACACCTCCCACTAGCCCAGGTTGCCCAAAGCCTCATCCAGCCTGGCCTTGAACCCCTCCAGGGATGGGGCATCCACAGCTGCTCTGGGCACCCTGGGCCACTGCCTCACCCCCCGCACAGGAAAACATTTCTTCTTAATATCTAACCTTAATCTCCTCTGTTTCAGCTTAAAACCGTTCCCCCTCATCCCACTGCTACACTCCCTGATCAAGAGTCCCCACCTCCTCGCTGCTCCAAGAAAGTACAGAACCAAACTACTGGACAGTTCGACAAATTAATTTTTATTATCGCTGGGTAAGTAAAGTACAGAACCAAACTACTGGACAGTTCAACAAATTAATTTTTATTATCACTGGGTAAGCGTGACCTCACATTATCAACTTGTTTAGGGAGCCATTACTGAAATAACATTATACCCAACAGAATTACTTGGTTTCACATTCCAGTGTCTTCCTGTTCTCATGTTGCAGACTGATAGACACGAAACCTCTCCCACTCACATTCTCCGGTGGTGCTATCGCCCCATTACATTTTCCATTCTCAACCACATCGTATTTCCACATCTCCTTGTTTTCAAATTAGCTTGCACCTCTTATCTTCATTTCCTTTTCTCTAAAAGTCTTCTAAATCTGTCAGGTCATTTTTGAAACAAGGTGACCCAAAGGAGACACAGACAGAGTCCTTGTCAGCCAGCCAACAAGACACAACAGCACAAAATCATCTGGCCTAGATTTTATGCATATGGGGTTGCAGCACCCAGTGACCTCAGCAGAACACATACAGAAAATGACAGGAGACTGGCTCAGGCAATTTGTCAAAGCAATCTCATAACCCCTTCACCAAGAAATATGGTAAATATGTTGAGAGACAGTGACACGCGCCCGGAAGCGACTCCTATTGTCCAGGCAATAACGGAGAACGAATTGATGCGGAGTGACTGCTGACACCTGAACGAGGACATTAATGACAATTCATGCATTTTAGCAGCAATGATGTCCTTTGCCTGGTCACAGTGTTGGCATGTATATAATTTCTGTATTTATTTTAAATCCTCAAGAGAAGGTAAAAAAGCCACAAGTATATTATGAACATTAATCCATTCAACAGGATTTAGCACCAAAATTGTTAATATGCCATCTCCTCCTGGAGCAGATCTTCAATGTATCCCTACCAAAATCCTGTCCCATAAATGTGGTTCTCAAGTAGCTATTTGTCTGGATTATTACGTCAATAATCTTCCATAATTCAGACGAGACCCACAGGTTTATGTAGCAGTACCCCAAGCTAAGGCAACATGACCTCTTCTATGATGCTTTGTCCTCCACAACCCAAGACACATAATTCTAAACGTGAAAGTACAAGGCATGCTCTAATGAGCTACTAATTAAGGATAAGGCAGTAATTCCTATATTTAAGCCCTTTTTCATAAACTTCTTCCAAGCACAGATATCTAAAAGCTTTAGAAAACTTACCTAGACTGTAAAAAAACAAAATAAAGTCCACTTTAATTAAAGCTGAGGTCAGCCACAACTAGGTGAGATTCAAGCCTGGATTTCAAAATTATCTACCACCAGTGACAAGGAGCTACTAACAACCTGCTACTGCCCATTATCAGGTTTTACTGTCTTTGTATCATTCACATTTCATGATGCTAAGTGCACATTAGTAAAGAGGGTTTATATTCACAGCAAAGTATCTTACAGCCAAAGATGTTCCATCTAGCGAGGAATATCCTACACAACTGCATCCATATCACATGTCTTAGGAAACTTAAGGAATCTTATATCACAAAGCCATGCAAGTCTCTCCTTTGTGACCCCTCTGGTGAAAAATATACTCCTGCTCTTACACAGAGGTATTAGCAGGGCTAGTGTCACAAAAATGAGCCTCTCTGGTTCCACACCAACTCTATTGGTTGGAGTCCAGAGGAGCCACGGAGATGGTCCGAGGCTGGAGCAGCTCCCGTGCGAGGACAGGCTGAGAGAGTTGGGGGTGTGCAGCCTGGAGAAGAGAAGGCTCCGGGGAGACCTTCCAGCACCTCCCAGTGCTGAAAGGGGGCTACAGGAGAGATGGGGGGGCTCTGGATCAGGGGGTGCAGGGACAGGACAAGGGGAACGGGTTTGAGCTGGAAGAGGGGAGATGAAGATGAGATCTTGGGAAGAAATGTTTTCCTGTGCGGGGGGTGAGGCAGTGGCCCAGGGTGCCCAGAGAAGCTGTGGATGCCCCATCCCTGGAGGGGTTCAAGGCCAGGCTGGATGAGGCTTTGGGCAACCTGGGCTGGTGGGAGGTGTCCCTGCCCATGGCAGGGGGTGGGACTGGGTGGGCTTTAAGGTCCCTTCCAACCCAAACCATCCTGGGATTCTATTCAGCTATGCCACGGAGTGCTCAAACCAAAGGACAAGGACAATGCATCCATGACAGAATGGGCCACACCTTATCAAGATTTAAATCACTGCTCACAGGACTTCCATGTGAGGAAACAGACTTCATGAAGTTCTGAGGAGCCGACCCAAGAGCCCAGTACCTGTTGGCTCTATGAAGAGAAGACCCAGGGTTGCATGGGAGACACCACCACTCTGTGGGAGCTCGTTGCTTTACAGTCATAACAAAATAAAATATAAAGCCTGATCTTCGGGAGAAATTAATGGTGTTTTTTATACACAGATGTAAAAGGTGTCCGCACAAATTGATACGGAAAAGCTTACTAGATAAAGAAGTAAAAGGCAATCAAAAATCAAAAAATAAGAAGAATGAAATCAGCATCTCTTCTGACTGAGTGGCTGTCAGACCTGCAACTTTTCTGGACATGTTCTAGAAATGACTTCTCTCTTGTACAATGAAAGGTCTCCACATAATAGTCACATGGGGTCTCAAAGGGAACTACACCGGAACCTCCACGAGGAGATGATCAGCCTCATCCTCAAATGGAGGGAAACGCCACCCTGTTCATATGGGAAAAAAAAAAGAGCCAACCTTTGAGAGCCACCAAGTAGCGACGAAGAATTGCACGTAACTTGTTCTGTGTGTACCGAACGAGCTGCCGGGAACCTGTCCAGAAGGCTCAATCTATGGCCTCGGACCCTGCCAGCCCCTCTGTCACTTTATTTGTAATTTTCTTTGCCAGAAGTGAGAATTTTTATAGATAACATTTCAAATACAGTAGCTGAATACATGAACTCAGCAATAGAGACTAAGAGGCATCCAAGCGTGACTAGTTTTAAGGTAAACTGAAAAAAATATTTTACACACTGAATCCCGAGGTCAGGTAAGAATTGTGGCTGACAGCCTAATTAATAGTTCAGCAGCTTCAGGCACTGCATCGTGCTCAAATTTGGGGTCTTACAGAGCTCTCTTGAAATAGGAGGACCCTGTTGTTCAGATTTATTTTTTTTTCTTGACAGCAGGAAAGTCGCTTAGTTTTGATTTAAAACTGTTGCTAATTTAAGGGGCGGTTTACCTTTCCACACTATAATTTATTCTTTTCAATATAAATGAATTCACCTGCTTGCTGTAAATTTCACAAGCAATTCAGGTTTAGAATCAGTTCTAATTATCTCCTCATTCAACAAGAATTCAAGACACTTTTCATAGCTCTAGAATATAAACATCTTAAAGGCTCACAAACTCCATTTAAACACATGCCAAAACCCATTAAACTTTGTTGTACCTTACTCAACCCTCAGGGCAGGTTAATGTCATTAAAATATGATCTGATCCAATGTATCAACTTCAATGGACATCAACAGCCATACAAGCTCTCAAGATTGATTCATAAAACAAGTATCAAGCATATGCTAGGCTCTCTGTTGGCATCAGAAACTAAAATTCTGCCTCCAGACCCAGCCAAAAAGCTTGCTGTAGTTTCACCAAGTTCTCAGCACTGTAACCGTACAAATTCTTCAAAACATAACTATTTCCACAGCAATTATAATGATAGGAATTTAAAAAGAAGACTTTATCGAGCTAAAGTTTTCCTTGGGAGTGATTTTCCAGTACAAATATTACATAGAATGAAGATAGACATTTTTGTTTTCATTTTTCTTTATGACCACTAATTCCCTTTGGACAGTGATCATTAAAATGTGCAGTATCACAAATTAATATTTCAGCCAGATGTGACAGCTAGCCCTTATGGAGTCTTAATTTCCCAAAGAACAGTTCTAGTGAATCCTGAAGAACAGCAAAACCATAGTTCTCAGTTGGCTTCCACACCTTGCTATTAATATAAATGGAGCTGCAAACCAATTAGAAACTTGGACAGATATTTACTGATATAATTAGTTTCATACAGGATTTCAAAGCTTTGCACCTGCATCAGCTTAATTGGACTCTAGTACACTTGAAATAAATAACTGCGCTGAATCTTCTCTTTTCAAGTGATATTACATAGGAACTTGAAAATTTCTTTGGCATCAGCACCAGCGTAAAGCCATGATTCAGTGCAACACCAGAACATAGTATTTGTTTTGGTACCAAGTGTTCTTTACACCATACATAGCAGCAACTGGAGACAGCATCACAGTTCAATCTGTTGTAAAGCCGCTTAAAATGAAAGGTTAGCTTAAAAAAAAATTAAAAATCCAGTGCTTAACATTATGCACCTCTTGCTAGTCAAATAATGCTGGCTTCTACTGTACTTCCACTCTCAAATCTGCATTTCAAACATCTGTTTAGCCAAAAGATTTTCTTCTAGGGCCAAGCACTGAAGGAAGCATCTCTCTTTCCCACACCTTCAGCTGAGAGTCAACAATGCCTCCCCTTTCTGAATACACTTCTTAAATTCTTAAGCCTTTCAGGTGCTAAAAGTACATCATTCTTTCAGCGAGACACAGGCATTTCTGAAAATTTTCCCATTTTAGATCTCTGCTACTGCAAAAACATTACTGCCATTTCTTCAAATGTCAATTAACACCTATAACACCCTTCTCCAGTCCTCTTTTTGCAGCCATCAAGTTTCAGTGGTTGAAATATCCTTACCGAGGCTGATTTTCCTGCGAAAGATTCTCCCCTCTCTGGTAACCATTGTCTGCCACCTGGGTTGTGGACCGCTTCACAATCTGCTTGAGTTCTTGTTCTAAGCGATCCTGGATGGCTTTCACCGTTTCAGGGATTTTTTTCAGCTTGGCCAGCCCTTTGATGAGTATGCCCATGAAGACGGCGCTGTTCTCCTCTGGATCCAGTTCCATATCTTCTTTAATTTCCAGAAGGCTTGTTTCTCGCACTGGAACAGATTTTAAAAGGCATAACTCAAAATTTGAACTATTAAAAACAAGACTTAGCACCATGCAGGAGCAGCACATAAATTCCTTTGCCTTCACAGAACTCCCACCACTTTGAGCAACCAAGGAATAAATAAGGAAACCAGCAACAGCCAAATTTCGGGGGAAAGGAGTGGACATTTCTGTTTGCTTGGGGGTTCCCTATCCATAAACCCAAGAGCCTGCACACTTGATTGATGGAGGAACAGAGACCATGGTGTAAGTTACCTATTAGTTAGGAAACAGGAAATCTGGTGCAACTAAAATATTCATAAATGAGAAGGTATTATATCACTACAAATGCCTTAAACATGTTTTAAAGAGCTAAAAGCCTTAAATTCCAAACCCAGATGTTTTTCTTCGCTATATTCTTCACAAGAGAAGAATTTTCATTATAAACACTATCAAGCTTAACAAACTTCTGATGAATTCGGCCAGGTTTACACTGCCAAAGTGAATGATTGTTTGATGTTATCCCGTGCTGCTTTATTACGTCTGTCAAGGAGTTGATGAAGTTACTCAAATCTTTTAGCAAAGCTTCTAGAAAGGACAAGTGAGAAGAATTAAAGAGGATATTGTGGTTACAGTCCTCCTGAAGTAACAGGGATTGCACGGGGAGAAATTCAGTTGCTAAGCGACAAGAAAGAGAAAGGCAAGAAGTACTCTGCTTGTTTTAAGTATGTTCATTAATCAACATTTCTTAATTTATAGATAACACCCAGCAACAACAAAGGGCTCTCTCTGTTAAAGACTGGATGAAACATTTAATAAATATATTCAAACACTTACGTGAACTGTCTTCACAGCAAACTCAAGCATCTTGGAAGGTCTACAGTCACAAGGATTGTTAACAGCTGGAGTGGGAGGATGTGGACAAACAGCACTGAAGTATTTGGCTGAAGCTGTGCCATACACCACACCATATCCTTGAGTAGAAATTAAAACCTAACAGCTGTTTCATCTTACTGGTACTGAACTCCGGTAAGGGCTCTTGGATGACAGGTGACTCCTGTGGTTTCTATTGCTCAACAGATCTTTACTTAAATCAAAACTTACCAAAGAAACACTGAAGAACTTCACAAGATCCACCAGAAGGATTTAAATGACATGGCAGAAATGACAAGTGGCATGTCACAAGTCACACGCAGCCCAGTAGCTGTCTAAAGCTCTGACACTCTGAACAGAACAGCACCAGCACTGCCAAAGGTAGCACAAGATCAAGAAAACAACGTCTCAAAGAGCCCGTGAGGTGCCACTTCATAGCATCACAGAATGGTTGTGGTTGGAAAGGACCATCAAGATCATTGAGTTCCAACCCCCCTGCCATGGTCAGGGACACCTCCCACCAGCCCAGGTTGCCCAAAGCCTCATCCAGCCTGGCCTTGAACCCCTCCAGGGATGGGGCATCCACAGCTTCTGGGGGCAGCCTGTTCCAGACCCTCCTGCATTTCAACCTAGAGCACCGGAACCCTGCCAGGTAAGAGCGAGGTGAGAATGGATCCTGTGATCACACATCACAACGGAGAATGACATCAGGGTTTAGGTACTCAACATCTGGGAGATCCAATAGTGCTTTTTTCTTCTCTCACAGTCACTTTTTTTCAATTAAAATCTGTTAAACTTGTAATTTGGGCAAGCTATGGGGCAAGCGCCTAGAAACACCCAGAATGCATTAAATAACAAAAGAAATGCGCAAACATAACTTAGGAGATACTTCAAACACACATAAGCAATAATATCAATTAGAAGTCAAGAACTGGATGCACACATATGTCTGCTCAAAGCTCTCATCTATCACACACCTTTCAACCCACGAGGCTGCAAAGCACTTTGTCCGCTGCGTACACGGTCTACCCACTCTGTTCATGCTAGCTGGTATTCTCCAAAAAAAACACAGCATGCCAGGCACACCCACAAAAAAAATGAGCTCTTTGGAAGAAGAGCTGCAGAAAAGACAACACTGGAAATGCTAGAGGAAGAAAGGTTTTAGCTTATTATTTAAAAAAAAAAAAATCAAGTATCTTGTTGCTCTGAATTTAATGCAAAGATCTCACAGCCTAAACAACCTTGTGGAGGACAAGTCCCTGTCATGACACTGCAGCCCCTTTGTAAGCAGGCTGTAAATTATTCTCACTATCACACAGCGAAAACCCAAGAGGGAGGAAATATTGCTGTAACCAAACATGAGGACAGCATTTAAGGGGACTAAAGGCAGCAATCGTGCTGAGAGCTCTGTCAGCGTCTTCCATTTTCAAAGGAGCAAACCAATTTTGAACACCCTCAAATAGTCAGGACACTGATTTACATCTCTTACAAACAACAGCAAAGCAAATAGTTCAATCTCGAGTAGCAACACATGGGTCCATCAGTTTTGTTAGATCTGATCTTTTGATAAAACAGAAGGGACCATGTTTCCTGCACGTCGTGCCTATTAAGCAGATATCCTGGGTAGCTTTGGGGGCCCATTTCTCTGTAAGATCTGACAAGGTCCCACCCCAGGTAACTGAAGACGTTATTCTCCTGCATCTTCCCCACTTCAAACATCCTCTTCTGCTATTTAATGTCATCAAGGGGTTATTTGACCACAAAGCTTTGGCCCAGGAATGAGCCCCACCTCTCCCCTACCTCTTCAAAAAAGGCATCAAAGCAGACGGGCACTTATAAAGAAGTTCACCTTTTAAATTGCTATCCCACACAGAGGAGCTCCACGGGTGGAGGAAGATGTCCCTACAGATCAGCTCTCAGATGTGAAAGCTTCGCCTCTATTTACTCTTAAATGGAAAATATAACTTTGTTATTCATTTATATTAAGACAAAAGCCCAACTCTCAGAACTTACTACATTCACCAGTTCCTACCTGAAATGCATCACACGTCCCTTTAAAGAAGAAAGATCATCGGCCACACCATAAGCACTTGTTTCATGTAGAGATGCCATGAAAAATTCATTTATCCTATGGATGGCTGCAATCATTATTTCCACAAATGGTTTTAAATTGTGGGCCTGCTACTTAGATTTGATTTGATTGACCTCTTCACCTTTGTGATGCATCAAAAAGGAGATAAGGAAAAAATTCCTATTTTAATTAAAAACAGTTTCACTATATTAAAAATAACACAGGTAGAAAACACCAAAGAACATCTTCATAGGATTTCTCAGTAATACCAAGAAGTAAATTTCCCCACCCTCCGAGTATAACAAGTGAAATGCAATGTCAAATAACAAATATTTTAAATTTTAATCTATTACAGTTGCCCTTCTCCAACATAATGAAGCCTTAGAACTTCAATTTGCAGTTTTATGCTAAAAAACCAGCTTCATACTGCTTTGCTGTCCCATCCCAGCTATAAACTCTTGCCCATAGCGTTATGCAAACCAAAAGAAACACCAGACTCCATGAAGCCTGGTCAAGGCTTTTCCAGATCCATTTGACACATAACTTGAAATGTTTTTAGCTAAAGTGACCTCTTTGGAAACCTGAATTTCAGTATCACTTAATGATTTCAAGTGGTTTTCATGGTTTAACGCCATTCAAAGATGACACCAAGTCACAGAATGGTCGGCTCACACCTGGTCCAGCCTCCCTGCTCAAGCAGGGCCACCCAGAGCCGGTTCCCCAGGATTGTGTCCTCATGGCTTTAGAGTATCTCCAAGGATGGAGATGCCACAACCTCCCCAAGCAACCTGTGCCACTGCTTGATCACTCTCACAGTAAAAACCCAAAATGTTTTCTCATGTTCGGGGAGAATCTCCTGCCTTTCAGTTTGTGCCCATTGCGTCTGGTCCTGGGCACCACCCTATCCTCTTTGCACCCTCCCTTCAGGTATCATCAATAAGATCCCCTCGAACCTTCTCTTCTCCAGGTTGAGCAGTCCCAGCTCTCTCAGCCTTTCCTCACAGGAGAGATGCTCCAGTCCCTTCATCACCTTCCTGCCCCTTCACTGGAGTCTCTCCAGTATGTCCATCTCTCTCTTACACAGGACCCAGAACTCCAGGTCTGGCCTCCCCCGTGCTGAGCAGAGGGGAAGGACCCCCCTCCCTCCATCTCCTGGCAATTCTTGGTCTAACGCAGCCCAAGAGACCTTCTTTGCATCAAGGGCACTGTGCTGGCTGCTCATGTTCAGCTTGGTGTCCACCAGGACCCCAGGTCCTTTTCTGCCAAGCTGCTTTCCAGCTTGGTGATCCCCAGCATGTCCCAGTGCCTGGGGCTGTTCTTCTCCACAGGCAGGACTTTGCAATTCCTCTCGTTGAACGTCATGAGGTTCCTGTCAGCCCATTTCTCCAGCCTGTCCAGGTCTCTCCAGATGACAGCATGACCCTCTGGCATATCAGCCGCTCCTCTCGGTTTGGTGTCACCTGCAAACTTGCTGAGGGTACACTCTGCCCCATCACCCAGATTAAGATGTTGAACAAGACTGAAGCCTGCAGGACACCCAGGTGTACCCTGGGGTACACTGCTAGTTTCTGGCCTCCAACTAGACTTTGTGCCACTGACCACCACCCTCAGTACCCGGCCATTCAGACAGTTTTCAATCCACCTCACTTTCTGCTCATCCAGCCTGTACATCAACCGTTTCTTGATTGGGATCTTCTGGAAGACAATGCCAAAGGGTTTACTGAAGAGCAGGTAGACGATAACCTCTCCTCTCTTCATCTGCTCGACTACTCATTTCTTCGCAGAAGTTTATCAATTTGAACAAGCGTGAACTCCCCTGGTTGAAGCCATGCTGACTACTCCTGATGATTTTCTTCTTCTAATGATCTCTGAAAACTGCTTATGAAGCAGAACATTTAAATATGGTTTCTCAAAAGCCTCCCAAGACAACAGCCTGACGGAGTGGTGATTTTGCCACATTCTCTAATGAAATACGCAGCCATTTTCAGAAATTTTCATCACTGAAGCAGTGCATCTGAAAATGCACAACTGTCTTCAGGCAGTCAAAAAATCTACACTCAGTTTAAA